CCTTCAGCATCTGTTTTGCCCTTTGTCAGCATTTTCAGTGCATTTGCAAAGCAGATTTGGTCCCTGCAAAAATTTAAGAGGGCCACATTGCAGGACACTGATACTTGGGTTGGGGAAAGGAACAACAATTTAACTGTGGGAAAGGATCCATTTCACCGGTCACAATTCAGGCATGCTCTGAACCATGGCCGAGAGTCACTTGCAAAGAGGCAGAACCAAAACAAAACCTGTCAAATACGTCATCCATTTTCACTCAGCAACCTCCCCAAACCCTTTCTCTCACAAAAGATCACACCAGATTGAGGCAAATTAGGTGAATGCCACATTCCCATATTCCTGGTCACTCCAGCCAGAAGCATAAAGGCCCATGAGATTTGCTTTTGCTGTCTTTAGGGGTCACTGGGGAACAGGGCTTCAGGGAATTTTCTAAGGAACAGGAATTTCAGGGTGAATTGAGTACAAGTTTAAGGATTGCTGCAAGGCTGTTTAGCACTAGATATTCGCCCGTGAAATTTAATACAACGATATACAAAAATGCACCTTTGCCACAACTGCAAATAGCACAAAATGCACACAAATACTGCATCTGCACAGCAGGCATGGGAAATATCTCACACATTATTCACAGCTGGGAGAAACCTTTCCCCCAGTGCCAAAATAAGTCATTTGCAGTTAGGAGAAAAGAAGGTACAAGTGAGAGAGTCCACACAGGAATTAACGGGGGGGAATGCTTAAAGCTACATAGTTCAAGAAGACCTGTGAGCAACAAACTGTATTATCTGGTTATCAATTCATCCCTTAGACTCTCAGTTTTGGGGGAGACTGTCTTTTTCACACTGTACTGCCAGTGGCTGTGAGACCACCCAGCTCCTCAGAAAAGCAGAACAAGTCTTTCCTAAAATGCAAACAAAGCCCCACCGGCCGGGTCCTTTCTGTTCAGTATAGTACAACGCACCACTCCCTTTTCAAATATGCTCTGAGATAGCAGAGAACTGTGTATCCTTACTATTTTTTTAAAATATCCTGCCAACAAGAAATAGGATAGCTAGAACATGTCAGACGCTTGCCTCCAGGTCAAGGTGTGGGACTAAATCCTAGTCAGGAGCCCCAGGAAAGCTCTGGGCAATAAGACAGGACTGTTTCTCCAAGGGTAAAGCACAATCTTGGCTAACAGCTGGCCAGTGACGCCAGACAGCACTCCTAAACAGCAGCTGTATATGACGGTGCTGTCCCTTCTACATCAAAGGGACTTCCAGCTCTTACCTGCGAGCTAAACTTTATCAGCACCATGTACTGGTTTGGAGTGGAATCTCGAATGATTTTCATGTGCTCAATTACTTCGTAGAAGGAAGCCACAAACTTCATCAGGTCGTGACTGGTCATCGTCGCAGGGACTGTGAGGATACACAGCATGGCGCTGCGCCTTACGTCTTCTTTTAAAGAGGTCATCTTGCTGGTAAGGCAACGGTGACACAACTTCATGTCATTTTAGAGAGGACAAAGGCAGAGCTGGATACATCACACTTCCAACAGCCACAGTTACTACAATAGCTTTGTTGTCAATCTTAACCCTCTTTTGCACATTTGTAGATATTAACAAAAAGAAGCAAGGGGTTGTGGTAAGCGTCCAACGCACTCTCGTGAAACTATTACTCTTTAGCGAAGGATTAAACTGGGCAGCTCCAATAAACAATGGTTTTGTCAGGCATAATTTGACATCTGTTTTTCTATAAGAACAGTAGAAGTTGGCAAGCCACAGATGCTCAGAACTATTCCTAGAACAAACGAGCAACGTTTGTTGGTATTTCAAATGCCCATTTTGTGTCTCCTGATAGCTTTCAGGAAGACCCAAAATGGAAGTTCTCACACAATTCTAGGGGAACAGCGTGGAATTGTAATCCCTGAAATACAGGATGAAGCCTCCTACTTCAGACAGCTCCTGCCAGGATCCCAGAGATCACAATTGAATTGTGGGATCCCTTGAGAAGCTGCTTTTCAACATCATTTTTTAGGGACCTGCATTCATCTTATGCTATTACAGCCCCCAGCACAAGCCCTCTCCACCTGGAGCAGCATCACCCGCAGGTGGGGGACCCAGGCCAGCCCCACACTCTACCAGCAACACACAGACCTGCCTGCCCTCTCGGGTGCGAGTCACCCTTCCTGTTTGTCTCACCTCAGGAGCCACAGCCCCAGGGTGACAGACTCACCCTTCCAGGTGGCGGCATTATTCAGGAGCACTGTTCCCACTAAAGCTACAATTAGTCAAGCATTCTTACTTTGTTTTGTACAGATGCATAATGCCGTGAACAATTTCAACTGAGGGATTCCCGCTGAAGAAGGAAATCTGGTCAGGGAGCTGTTTTGAAGGCGAGTCTGGAGCCACCTCACGCTCTTTACTTTGATCGTCATGTTTATTTTTGTCCTCAGCAGATGCAGCCTCTGAAGATTTTCTTCCTTCCATGCCAGCTTTTGTTTCATCTTTTACAAATCAAAAGTTTCCACATTACTAATGGCGCATCAGAAACGTCTGCTGTTCCCTAAGCATAGCCTGCATGTACACAACAGCAACCCAAGAAGACAAATTACAACCCTGGAAAACAGCAGAACGAGACACCTCTCATCTTTGCTGTTCCAGGGGAAACTCCAGAGCTGCCAGACATCCCGTGCGAGCCCCTGGCAGGACCCAGTGCTGTGGATCAAGCTAGGCGAGTTTTGTACCCGGTGAAATCCCAACAGGCACTGGTTATCAACACAAAGCAACCAGGACACGTTGGCTGAGCATGGGCGAGGAGAGCCCTGCAGCAGCGAGCTGCTCCTCCAAAGGTGGCTCAGATATTTGACACAACTTGGGAGTTTCCGTCTTGAAACCTGCCCTCTACCAGGTAATTTAACATCTGTAGAGCTGAACAGTCCCATTCCTACAGGCCAGCAACGCTGGCAAGCAAAACACCAACCAGCCCACAGTGTAACCCAAAATAAATGAACCCTTTACAAAGTGGAAAACGTTTGCCAGCAATAACCAGCTCTCCTATCTGGACCCCAACACGCATTCTTTAACTTCTCTACTTGTTTTCTAAACTGCACCACTGACTCAAGACCCGCAAACCCAGCAGCACCTCCGCCATCCCCACGCTGACAGACAGTTGCCACTGGCAGGGCCAGCGCCTGGGAAGTGCTGTGCTCC